AGATGAAGATCCTTCTGCTATGCCTTTGCCTTTGTTCCTACAACTATCCATGGCTTCGATCAACTCGTGCTGATATATAGATCGAGGAAGATCACTACATGACTAGTAGAGATGATTCATAAGATTTTTTTGTTGGTTATTTTGGGTCTTTGAAGGAGAAGGAAAGAAAGAAATATAGAGAAACTATGTCAATGATAGTGGGGGAAAACTTTAGAAAAAATTCTACACTAATTAGAAATAATCTTATCATATTCTCGCGTAAATTATTTGATGGGAATATATATATAGATACACACGTAGCATCAAATCAATCAGGGGTAAAAGACTAAAAAGGCTACTAGTGCTCTCTTATTTTATTTTCTTGTCAGCAAAATTTAGTGTGAACAAATCCTTTTTTTCATAGGTGAGGTCGTTTTTTGGTTAAAAATATAAATGAGTGGTATTCTAATTTATTTTAAACCAAACAAATATAAAACGTAGATGTATATATCATTACCAAATTAAGTAAATGCAAATAATTAGATTATTTAATTAGATAGCAAATTAAGTGATTAATGAGGGAGACAGGAGTCAGGACCCACGAGAGTGCTTTAGTTATTTCTTTTTCGATCGGCAGACCTATCAAATTATTTTCTCTTCCTTTAATATGTACGATTAGCATTTAAGTATTGTTTACTATTTGCTTTATTTATATATTTTTTTGAAACTTTATTTATATATCTGTTGCCATTAAAATGAAAATTATGTTTCCATTCAGCTTAGCAATCATTGTCAATTAATCAAATATTACCTCCTTGTTAAGTGTAAGGAAAGAAAACAATAATCCTACAAAATACAAATGATAAATAACACAAAAACTGGTTTTTTTCCTCTTTTTTGTTGAGCATAAATTTTTAAACAACAATATATCAACGTAGAACCGTAGCAAAAACTACAATCAATTTTTTTTTTTAGGAAAAAACTACAATCATTTTTGCAATAAGCTTTTTATTTGTGCATGTAAAAGCACTCTCAATGGTGAGATAGTTGCTAGAGTATCTCATCATATATAATATTAATATTTTTTATCAAGTCTAATTTGTAT